ACGGCGCGGGGCGGGGCCGGGGCGCTGTGAGCCCTCAGGCGGAGCGGGGCCGTGCCGGACACCCCTGCGGATCATTTCGGCACTCAAAAGCTTGATTCCACTGTGAGAAATTAGGATTAAATCATTAAAGCATACAGGTGGAAGGATTTTAAGGGAAAAGTGAGAACTTTTGATAGATTCATACAGATTCCCGGCTAATTTACCGAAATGCATGAGCTTTGGTTTACTCTGAAACAGAAACGACAGACAAAGAAAGCTTCCATCACATTTTAGTTAATTTCGAAGCAAGCCGAGTATCTTACAATACATATGCACATACATTTTGTACATCATCCGATTACAAAAATTAATGCTTTTTGAATACTGCTAATACAATTAAGTGAAGATACACCACCAAAATTTTCTGYTTGAAAAGATTCAGTACCCCTTTCCCACATAAAACCACACTACTCCAAGATCTCAGCAAAATACAGGGCAAAACCCTGTTAAATTTAAAAACACCACAGCTTTTATGCCAGTACAAATATTGTTTTATGAAGTGAAACACTGCTCCCTATACTTTTCTACTTTARAACAGTTTGTTACCCATTCATATAGAGGCACTTTTGCTTTTTTATTTACAATGGTTGTAAAATATTTTACCTTGATCATTTTCACTTGATTACAACCCTCTCTTTGTAATCAAGCCAGGAAATARTACCATTTCTTTGTGTATTCTTTGGCTATAAAACACCAGATATAAAATATCTTCCAAATGAACAATTACATGTTATGTTACTGTGTAATTTTTTAGTAGCATACTTTTCTTTCAAATCCCAATTATACACTACAAATAGGGAGGTGAATKGTCACTGTGCTTTAAAGAATGTCAACATCTATAAATGTATACTAAATTTAAATGACAAATTACATAATTCTCAGTTTTCCCTGGAGGGCTAAAAAAAGCAGCAATGACAGAAACTTGGAAAATGCTTTGGAATGGAAGATCAAGGACTTCTTAAGCTGATCCCAAACAACTTTTCCTTCCAACATTTTATCTAGTTGGCAACATCCACTGCAATAAATGCAGTTACATTTGTTTAGGTAACCCTTTTTATAAAAAAGGATAACATGGCCATGAACTAAGAGCTGTAAAGTAACATCTGTTGAAAACTGCATATGTACAGGTGTCCTGCAATTATTTGTTGTTGTTATTTTGCATTGTCACAGCTCCAGCAGCTTTTATATCATGAAGAGTACTGCAAAGATTCTAATGTAGGTGCATGATTCTTTTTCTTCTTRTCAGCGTAGTTAAATGGCAAACCAGAAAAGACACTTAAGAAAGAGAGATTTAAAATGCTTAATCACAGCTTGAGGTAGACTGATCKCCAAAATAAAGCTCTTCTACACTTTGATTCGTTCATGACCAACTTCTTTTTGGATCCTTCTCCTTGGAAAAATCTTTCGTTTAAGTGCAATTAGCTGAGGAGAGAAAAAAATAAAAAATGTAKTTCTCTGCTGGGCTAAAGGTCCACAGCTGGTTAAGTTTTCATCCTAGAAACTGTCAAATCATCACCACCCATGGTAAATAGCCAATATTGCACTTTTTTCTTTCTCATTATGCAGGAAATGCATTTTTTACTCCAATGTATCTATTAGATGCGCACATTTCCACTGGACTTCTCAATAATCAGAATACAAGCAGAAAGTGAAAAATACACTGTGTCTTTATTCTGATTATTTTAAAGGTAATTTGTGTATTTAAATTAACACCAGGCTAGATTCTAGTTTTAAAAGATGAACATAAAGCTGGCATCTTAAAATGGTATTTATATTCCTAACTGTACCACTGAGTTGMGTATCCCCTTCCAAAAGGAAGTTACTAATGGAGTTTTCTAATAGATACAAAAGGCTGAAAATCAAGGGAAAGAGTCATGCAAAAGTTACAGGTGGGAAAG